TCAAGAAGATCATATGTCCTGACCAAGTTGGATTTATTCCAGGGATGCAAGGGTGGTTCAACATACGTAAGTCAATAAATGTAATACACTATGTTAACAAAGTCAAGGACAAAAACCATATGATCCTCTCCATAGATGCATAAAAAGCATTTGACAAAATTCAACACCCATTCATGATAAAAACCCTGGAAAAAAGTGAAATAGATGGTCTATATCTCAACTTAATAAAGGCTATCTATGAAAAACCAACAGCCAACATCATGGTAAATGAATAAAAACTGAAAACCTTCACATTAAAATCAGGAACAAGACAAGGATGTCCACTCTCACCACTCCTCTTCGATATAGTTCTGGAAACATTAGCCACAGCAATTAGACAAGAGAAAGAAATTAAAGCAACAAAGATAGGACAGGAAAAAGTTAAACTGTCATTATTTGCTGATGATATGATACTCTACATTGAAGACCCAAAAAACTCCACCAAAAGACTTCTAGACTTAATTGACAGATTCAGTAGAGTAGCTGGATACAAGGTGAATACCCAAAACTCAATAGCCTTCTTATACACAAATAACAGACTCACTGAGAGAGAAATAAGGTAAAAAATTCCTTTTACAATAGCATCCAAAAAAATCAAGTATCTAGGAATCAATGTAACAACAGAAGCAAAAGATCTTTACACTGAAAAATATAGCACTCTGAAAAAAGAAATTGAAGAGGATATTAAAAAATGGAAAGATATCCCCTGCTCCTCGGTAGGAAGAATCAACATAGTGAAAATGGCCATACTACCAAAACTGCTATGGAGATTCAATGCAATGCCAACTGAAATTCCAGCACTATATTTCACAGAACTAAAAAAAAAAGAATCCAAAAATTCATTTGGAACTATAAGAGACCTAGAATACCAAAGGCCATCCTAGGCAACAGACACATGGCAGCGGGTATAACAATTCCCAATTTGAAACTATACTACAAAGTCACTGTGATAAAAACAACATGGTACTGGCAAAGAAACAGGCTTGAGGATCAGTACAACAGATTAGAAGACACAAAAACAAATCCAGATGTCCTCAGCCACCTCATCTTTGACAAAGGAGCTGACCATCCTCAGTGGAGGAAAATAGCCTCTTTAAAAAATGGTGTTGGAAAAACTGAATTTCAACCTGCCACAGATTAAAACTGGACCCCTATATTTCACCATGCACTAAATTAAAATCCAAGTGGATTAAAGATCTAAATATTAAGACAGAAACACTAAACTTGCTGGAAGATAAGTTAGGCAGAACTCTTGAAGACATTGGCATAGGAAAAGTCATTATGAACAAATCCTTAGTAGTACAGGAACTAGCAGAAAAAATCAACAACTGGGATCTCATCTTATTAAAAAGCTTCTGTACTGCAAAAGAAACCATCAGCAGAATTAAGAGGCAACCTACCATGTGGGAAAAAAGTTTTACCAGCTGCTCCTCAGACAAAGGACTATGATTTAGAATATATAAAGAACTCAAAACAATCAGCCTCCCCAAATATAAAGACCCGATTCAAAAATGGGTATCTGAAATGAACAGAGGTTTCTCAGACAGAGAAGTAGAAGCAGCAAGTAAATATATGAAAAAATGTTCCACATCACTGGTCATTTGAGAGATGCAGATGAAAACAACACTGAGATTCTACCTCACCCCACAAAGAATGGCCGCTATCAAGAAATCACACAATAACAAATGTTGGTGGGGTTGTGGGGAGAAAGGAACCCTTCTCCATTGTTGTTGGGAGTGCAGACTGGTGCAACCACTGTGGAAATCAATATGGAGATACCTCAAAGAGCTTGGACTGGAGGTTCATTTGACCCAGCCATCCCTCTGCTGGGTGTCTTTCCAAAAGAACTAAAAGAATCATATGACAGTTATGTTTGCGCACCCATGTTTATAGAAGCACAGTTTGTAATAGATAAAACTTGGAAACAGCCCATTTGCCCATCTGTTGGAAACTGGATAAAGAAGATGTGGTTTTTCTGTAAAATGGAATATTATTCAGCCATAAAGAATGAGAAAATAGATTCATTCATTGGAAAATGGATACATATTGAAGATATACTACTAAGTGAAATAAATAAGTCACACATGTGTAAATACCAAATAGTTTCTCTCGTGTGAATAAACTGTAGTAATACATAAGATCCTAGTAAGATTACTGACATTGTGAAATGGGAAGAAAGGGGCTAAAGGTATAGGGAAGGTGGGATGGGCAGGGGAAGGGTAATAAGGGAAAAGAAAAAAATGTGAGATAATGAAAAGATGGAAATAAAATGTTTGTAGATGGGGAGGGGAGGAGGGAGTGAAGGGAGGGCAGGGACAAGGGGAAAATATGAGAAGCAAGACCTGTCATGTAGAGGTACAAGATCTCAACAATAAATGTAACTGTACTGTATCCCTAAAATGTACCAATAAACTCAATTAAAGCTTAAAAAAAAGAAATAATACAATTGATTACTGAATTTTGACCCCATGGATTATTTAGAAGTATGTTGCTTCATTTTCAAATATTTGAAAATTTTCTAATTTCAAGATTTTGATCTCTAATTTAATTCTGTTATGTACAAAGAACATAGTTTATTTCAATCATTTATGGCAATTAAATCTGAGCATTTATCATCTTTACATAAAACATATTCTGCTGTTAGTGGTACAATTCTATAAACTGATCCTTTCTTGCTTGTTTTGTTTATGCACATTATCAATAAGAGTGTTGAAATCTCCAACTATAGTTATTTATTAAACTATAATTAATAGCTTTTGTTTTGTTTTGAAGTTCTTATTAGTGATCTACATATTTTTTTTCTTTTTTTTTTCTTGAGTTTTTTAGTACATTCTAAGTATACAGTACAGTTACATTAATTACTGGGATCTTGTACTTTTACACAACAGGTCTTGGTTCTCATTTTTTCCCCTTGTCCCTGCCCTCCCTTCACTCCTCCTACCCTCTCCATTTTCAAACACTTTATTTCCATTTTTTCATTTCCTCATATTTTTGCTTTTTCCTTATTCACTTTCTCCTACCCTTCCAACTTTCCCTACAGTTTGTAATAGCTAAAACACGGAAACAGCACATTTGCCCATCAGTTGAAAACTGGATAAAGAAGATGTGGTTTTTCTATAAAATGGAATACTACTCAGCCATAAAGAATGAGAAATTAAAGTCATTCATATGAAAATGGATACATTTTGAGGATTTACTAAGTGAAATAAATAAGTCACACATGTGCAAATATCGAATAATTTCTATGGTGTTAAAAACTATAATAGTACACAAGATCCTAATGAGATAATTAACATATTTAAATATTTATATTTTCTTGATTGGCTTTTGTTTATAATCTGTTCCTCTATGTCAGCATTCTTGGTCACAATATTATACTTTTCTCACTGTAAAATATATCTAGATTTCTTATGATTAGTTTTGTGAAATATACTTTTTAACTTTTAATGTATCTATATCTATTTATAATAAATATTTTATATACAACATAAGTGTTACTGTTTTGTCTAGTGTAACAATCTCTGTGTGGTTTTTTTTTTTTTTGGTTTTTTTGTTTTATTTTGTTTTGTTTTTGGCACTGGGGATTGAAGTTGGGACCTTGTGCTTGAGAGGCAGACACAGTGGAACCACTGAGTGAAATCCCTGTCCCACAGTCTCAGTCTTTTAGTTCACTTGGTAAGAGCATTTAAAGCAATATTTAATACAAATGAGTTCAAGTCCACTCAATCGCTATCTCTTTGCTATTAGTCATATTTCTTCTGTCATCTTTCCTTTTTCATCTTTCTTTTTTATTTAGTTGATATGTTAATCAGCCTTCCTGTTGCTGGAACAAAATGCTCATCATTCATAATTAAAGGATAAAGTTTATTTGGCTTAAAGTTTATTTGGATAAAGTTTTAAAGAATTTAGTTTATGATTGGCTAGTTTCAAGGTAGGAACATTATAGTACAAGGGCCATAGTGGAGAACAGTGGCTTAGTCTAGAAAGTAGAGCAAGAGAAGAGATAAAGAGAAGAATAGACCAAGGACCAGATACAGACGGAGGATTACAGCTCCCTGAACCCAGCCACACACAGATAGAAGTGTGCTTTACTTATCCCCTAGGAAGCTCATAAGCTAATCAAATCGACAATCCAGTTTAACTGTCATAGTGAATTATTTAATATTTCATTTCTTCTATTTTGACTTGTTAGTTATAGTATTTTCATTTATTTTATAATGATTTTTATAAGGTTTATAATATGTAACTTTAACTAAATCAAGTATCTTGAAATATGGATTCTCCTCAACTTACAAGGTATGTCTATCCCTATAAACTATTGTAAATTGAAAATACTGTAAACTAAAAATGAATTTAACATCCCTAACCTACTGAACATCACAGCTAGCAACATTATCTGCATGATCACAGGGCTGACTGAAACTTACAGCTTGTTGGAGTAGACTTGCAGTCCAGCATTATGACAATATTTTACTGCATATCACTGGCACATGAAAAAGATGTAAATTCAAATCAAAGTATGTTTTCACTGAGTGTGTATCACTTTTGCATAACTGAATTTGAAAAATTACAACTTAATCATTGTAAGTCCAAGTCTGTCTGCAATAGCATGCTACAACATACATAATATTAGATAATTTTGTCAGTATACATACTTTTATCTCTCTATTCCCACACTTTATGTGAAAAATATTCCTTAAGCATACAAACCCACAACAATTCTACATAAAGATTTACATGACATATTTTGCTTCTAACAGTTGATTATACTGAAATAAACTTTAAAAAAGAAATGAAACATTTTAGGTTTATCTATATATTTACTATTTATGGTGTCACTACAAATTCCATGTCACTTGGTATGATTTTTCTTATTCCTGAAGGATTTTAATAACTCTTACAGCGAAAATTTGTGGGTGATGATTTTTTACTCAGTTTTTCTTTGACTTAACAAACCTTTATTGTTCAAACTTAAACAGCACATATACTAAAAACTGGAACAATACAAAGAAGATTAGCATGGTCCCTGTGAAGGATGACATGAAAATTCATGAAGCATTTCATATATTTCAATAAGCAATTTACAAGCAGCAACCCAAGGAATTAAACTAAAAAAACAGTAGAAAATAAGAAGACGAGGATGCAAGATACAATCCCACACTGCCAGCTCACTGAAGGCAAACCCTGGGGTGACTGAGGTTGAGCCAATGAAAAGCCACCCAGCTCAACTCCCTGAAGTGGTATCTAAAGAAAGGAGCAAAGCAGTTCAATGAGGCTCTACAAAAAATAAAATCAGAAATAATTTTTCAGATAACCTTAGAGATAGTGATCATAATGGACACGTTTATTAACTCTAGAGCAGATACAGATTAAAAAAACATAGAGGAGTTTAAGAAAATGATGAAAACCATAAATGCACACAAAGAAAAAAAAAGGAATGTATTAAACAGATTCAAGATATCCAGAAGATTAAAAATTACAGTGTTAAGTATATGCAGCAGAGTGAGCCAATGTAAGGACAGAATATCAGATACAGAAGATAGGATCATGGTTAACAACCATGAAAAGAAATATTTCTTAAAAATAGCAAGGGACCATAAAAAAATCAATCCAAGACCTGATAGATGATGCAAACAAGTATAACATAAGATTGATTGGAGTCGTTGAAAAAGCAGAAGATAGCACAAATGACATAAAACTTGTTCACAGGAGCAATGGCAGAAAACTTCCGAAACAGAGAAAAATAATTTGACATACAGATAAGAGGACATATAAAAATCCAATTAGCCATGATCAAAACAACAAAAAACAAATGTACATCAAGGCATATAATAGTGCAAAGTCTAAAAATTCAACGCAGGAACAGAATATTAAATGCTGTTAGAGAAAAGAAACAAATCATCTATAAAGGAGAGCCCATCAAGATCACAGCAAACTTCTCAACACAAACCCTCAAGTCAAGGAGACCTTGGAGTGAAGTATTACAAACCGCCAAAAGAAAACGAGCTCTGGGCCAGATTGATGTACTCTGCAAAACTCACTTTCAAAACTCATGGAAAATTAGATACTTCCATGACAAAGAAAATTTAAGAAATTAATGTTCACCAAATTAGCACTTAAAAATGTTCTGAAGGACATTATACAAAAAAGTAATGTACAATTCCATGAACCCCAAAAGAATGACTCCACCAGCAAAGCAAGTAATTAGAGAGGTGAAAAAAGGAAACCAACAACAGGAAAATAACATGACAAGTGTAAGTCAATCCATTACAGTTATTACTATCATTGTTAATGGTCTCAATTAACCAATCAATAGAAACAGACTGGCAAGAAGTAAATCCAACAATATGCTGCATGCAAGAAACATATTTAATTCAAAAAGAAATTCACAGACTGAAAGTCAAAGGACAGAAAACAATATTGCATGTGACAAAAACATGCAAAAAAGCATGGATAGCTACTTCTCCTTGCAAACAAACTGGATTTCAAGCCGAGACTGATTAAGAGAGATAAAGAAGGTCACTACATACTTGTTAGGGGAATAATACAAAGGAAGAAATAACAATCATAAAAATATATGCACCAAACACCAGCCACACACAACTATATAAAACAAATATTAATTTTAAAAATCACATAATCACTAATACAACTGTAATGGAGGACCACATTACTCCACTGTCACCAAAAGTATAAGAAGATAAAAAGTCAATGAAGAATAAGGGAACTGAATCAAACTTTTGAACAAATGGACTTCTAGTTGATGTGTACAGAGTGATCCAACTCACATTAGACTACACATTCTTCTCAGCTGCACAACAGACATTCTCCAAATTAGACCACATATTACCTCACATAACATGCTTAAGTAAATCCAAAAGAATTGAAATTATCTCATAGAGTCATCAGACCATAATTCATTGAAATTGGAAACCAGCGGCAAAAGAAATCACCAAAAATTCATGAACAAGTGGAAACTAAACAACAGCTCTCTGAATAACCAATGGGTCACAAATGAAATTTAAGAAGCAATTTGAAAGTTTCTACAATTATATGATAATGCCAGTACAACATACTGGGACTTATGGATGGAGTGAAAGCAGTCCTATAAGGGAAATTTATAACAATTAATTCCCATAAAAACAGAGTTAGTTCAAATAAATAATGTGGAACCTCAACTTTCTAGAAAAAGAAGAACAAGTCAAGCCAAAAGCTCCTGTGACAGATGAAATTATGAAGACCAGGGCACAAATTAATGCAATCCAGACAAAGAAAATACAAAGTATTAATGAATTGAAGAGTTAGTTCTCTGAAAGACTGAATAAAATTGACAAACCCTTACCAACCTTATCAAAACGGGAAAAAAAAGACTCAAAGCTATGCAATTATGAATGAAAGGATGAAATAACAACAGATTCTAAAGAAATACAGATCATCAAAACTTACTTCAAGAGCTTGTATTCTAGTAAGATGGAAACACAGAAGAAATAGAAGTATACATATTAATTACCAAAACTGATTCAAGGAGACATAAAAATTCTAAACAAACTAATGTCAATCAATGAAATTGAAGATGTAATTAAAGACCTACCAAAAAAGACAAATTCATGTCTGGATGGATTCCGTACTGAAAATTCTACAAGAAATTTAGAGAAGACCAAATGCTGCTACTTCTAAAACTCTTTATCAAAATTGAAAGGAACACAACACTCCCAAATTCATTCCTGTAATCAAGTATTACCCCAAATCCCAAATCAGAGAAGGATTCAACCAAAAAAAGAACTAAAGACCAAATGAAAATAGATATAAAAATCCTAAATAAGATACTGCCAAACAAAATGCAGCAAATCAAGACTACATGTGATAACCAAGTAGGATTCATCCTAGGGATGCAGGAATAGTTCACAACAGACAAATCAATGTGTTATACAACATATTTATAGAATCAAGGACAAAAACCATATGATCATCTCAACAGATGCAGAAAAAAAATCTGACAAAGTCCAGCACCCATTCATGATAAAAACCCTACAAAAAATGCAATAGTTATTCTTCATCTCAACCTGATAAAAATCATCTATGACAAACCAAGAACCAACATCATATTAAATGAACAAAAACTGAAAGCTTTCACTATAATCAGGAACAAGATAAAGATGTACACTATCAGCACTCTTATTCAATACAATCCTGGAAACATTAGCTAGAGCAATTAGAGAAGAGAAATAAATAAAAGGAATAAGGATAGGAAAGGAAGAAAATAAATTATCATTATTTGCAGACAACATGATACTCTACATAGAAGTCCCCAAAACTTCACCAAAATCTTCTAGATTTAATAACCAAATTCAGTAACATAGTGGATATAAAGTCAACACTCAAAAATCAACAGCATAAAGTGTTTGTACATGGGGAGGGGAGGAGGGGGGTAAAGAGAGGGCAGGGACAAGGGGAAAAAATAAGAAACAAGACCTGTCATTTAAAGGTACAAGATCCCAGTAATGAATGGAACTGTACTGTATACCTAAAATGTACCAATAAACAATAAAAAGAAAAAAATAAGATAAAAAAATAAGAAAACAAAAGATGGAACAACAACAACAAAATCCACAGCATTCCTGTACACAAATAACAAACTCATTGAGAAATTAGGGAAACAACACTTTTCACAATAGCATCTAACAAAATGAAATACCTAGCAATCAATCTAATAAAGGAAGTAAAAGATGAAAACTACAGTGCTTTGAAAAAAAAATGTAAGAAGATGTCAGAAAATGGCATGATAGCCCTTGTTCTTTGATGGGAAAAAATCAATATAGTGAAAATTAGATACTTTCAAATTTGTTACAAAGATTTAATGCATTCCCAATCAAAATACCAATAGCATACTTCACAGAATTAGATAAAATAATCATAAAATTCATTTGGAATTGTAAGAGACTTAGAATAGGAAAAGAAATTCTGGGCAACAAAGGCAAGGCAGGTGGTGGCATAATTCCTGATTTGAAATTATACTACAAAGTATTGTCATAAAATCAGCATCGTATTGGGGGAAAAAAAGACTCAAAGATACCAGTGGAATAGAGTAGAAGATGCAGAAAAAAACTCCAAACTCAACTAACTTATTTTTGACAAAGGAACCAAAGACCTTCACTAGAAGATACCCTCTCTAATAAACTGTGCTGGACAAAATAGCTTTCTGCATGTCAAAGATTAAAACTAGACCCAAATCTTTTACCATGCATTAACTAAAACTGAAATGAATCAAAGGTCTAAATATTAAAACAGAAACACTAAATCTTCTGGAAGATAGAATAGGTAGAGCTCTTGAAGATATTGGTGTAGGCAGATTTATGAACAAAACCCCTATGGCACAAGAAATATGACAAAGAATCAACAAGGGGAATCTCATCTAATTAAAAAGCTTTTGCACAGCAAAAGAAACCACCGAAAGAGTGAAGAGACAACCCATAGTGTAGGAAAAAGTTTTTGCCAACTGTTCCTCAGACAGACAAAGGACTAATATCTAAAATAAAGAATTCAAAAAAATCAGGTCCCCAAATTTAAAGACCCAATCCAAAAATGGGCCTCTGAAATGAATACACATTTCTCAAATGAAGTAGAAATGACAAATAAATATATTTTTTAAATGTTAAACATCACTTGTCAAGCAAATGAAAACAACGTGGAGATTCCATCTCACCTTCAAAAGAATTGGCTATTATCAAGAAATCAAATGATAACAAATGCTGACAAGGCTGGGGAAAAAGTAACCCTTCCCCACTGTTGGTACGAGTGTAGACTGGTGTAACCATTATGGATATCAGTGTGGTGATTCCTCAAAAAACTAAAACTACAGCATACATTTGACCCAGCTATTACCCTTGATGGTATCTTCCCAAAAGAACTAAAAGCATCATACCACAGCAAAATATACACACCCATTTTTACAGTGTCACAGTTTGTTATAGATAAATCTTGGAAACAGCTCAAATGCCCATCAACAGAGGAACAGATAAAAAAGATGTGGTATTCTTTTGTACAGTGGTGTATTACTCTGCCGTAGAAGA